ATTGTGTTACATTTGTGTTTCGCTTATACATATGTAATTGTTTACACAAGGTACGAAAACAGCAACAATATGTAAAGCATAGATTAACCAGATTTGAATATGATTGAATCTGATCATTGACAGAGGACATTTTATTGGTTTGGTTACCAACAGAACAATTGTGCTTTGTTAAATAACTTAAGAATTATTCAAGACATGTACCAGATTATGATTGGGATTTGAAAACAAAAATGCGTATTAGTGTTTTACCCTTTCTTTTTTTGCTGAATGAGAACTGGGGTAAAATCTCACAATAAATTAAGCTATATGTAATATACTCGACTAATAGGTTTACAATATGTCACTTTTAACTTCCACCACTGGGGTAGGAATCTGCACCACAACCAAAGGCTCAACATTAAAACCTGACAGTGCTAGCAAACACACCTAAAGTGATATTAATCAAATAAAATAATAGGCATGTCATACTTACCTGCAATGGTTTTGCACAGAGCACCCCCGATCCTTCATCCTCTTCGGCAAGGACAGGGTCGCTCCTGAGCCACCCTATCTGCGTCTATCGACCCAGACAGGATGGCTCAGCCCTGCCCCTCGCTCCCTCATCACAGGATTTGATTGACAGTAGTGGAAGCCAATGGCTTCAGCTGCTATCACTTTGCCCAGGCAGAAGGGACAGAGCCAGGATAGCCTCTGCTCTCATGCACAGGGCTGGGTCTGGAATGGGCTCAGGTAAGTATAAGGGGGGGGCAGGATGGATTCTGTTATACATAAGGTGTTTTACCTTATGCATAGAATTCATGTGTACAGCACCAGATCGAGATCGGGCTAAGGTAAGTATTAGGGGGGAATAAGGGGGGAGCTGCACCCCGAAGGTTTTTTTTACCTACAGGTATAGAATGCATGAAAGTAAAAACCTGTAGGATTTAGAATCCCTTTATTCTCTCTCCAGCCCTAGGCAACACAAAAATTTGCACCCCCCCCCCCCCAATGAGAGAGCGAGAGAGTTCAATAAGTGCGTCTATGTATATATGATTCTCTATCTCTCTCTTCCCTCTTTCTCTCTCTCCCCTCTTTCTTTCTCTCTCTCTCTCCTCCCTTCCCACCTCTCTCTCTCTCTCTCTCTTCCCTCTCTCTCCCTTTCACCTCCCCCCCCCCTCTCTCTCTCTCTTCACCCCCTCTCTCTCCTGTCTCTCCCTTCCACCTCTCTCTCCCTCTCCTCTTTTTTCTTCCCTCTCTCTCATTCCTTCTCTCTCTCTCTTCTCCCTCCCTTTTCTTTCCCTTTCTCTTTCATTGTTCTCTCTCTCTCTCTCTCTCTCTCCCCTCTTTCTCTCTCCCCTCTCTCTTTCTGTCTCTCAGATCATATGGAACTGCACACACACGCAGTATGATTACCCCTCCCACCACCTCCTCCAAGGGCAGCTGATTTCTAGGCAGCAGGAAATGTGGGCAGGGTGTGGTAATCATACTGTGTGTGTGCAGTCCCATGTGATCTGTCAGTTATACTTTCTCATGTGCTGGATGGATGACAGGAGGGAGAGCCCAGAGAACAGAACACAGCTCACCTCCTCCGGGCTGTTTCCTCTCCACCACGTCTCCTCTCCCTGCTCTGGGCTGTCCCCTGGTCCTGGCTCTGAGTAAGGGTGGGGGAAGGAGCTCAGCGGAGAGCGGCCACTCAGGAACACTGGGGCACCCCCTTCATCCAGGCCAGGTCTGTCTCTCCCTCCAGCAGCAGAAAGACAACGGGAAGGATAGGGGGAGAGACCTCAAACCAGTTTTCAGCTGCTGGAAGGAGAGATACACAGGGCATCCTTCTGCAACTGCTCTCCCCCGCCACAGCGATCCTCCTGCTGTCTGGGCCACCTACAGGAGTACCGGTGGTACCCCTCTGATGGCGACCCTGCATGGCTCTGTCTGCCACTGCTTACCAGGTCCCTTCTTCCTGGGGGGCGGTGCCGCCCCCATAAAATTTGTCGCCCTAGGCAATTACCTTCTTTGCCTCATGGTAGATATGCCCCTGCTTAAGAGGTGTCATTTTCCATACCCTACTAGTATTTTGGCTCTAGGTACAAAACTAAACCAGAATAGACAAACAGTAACAACACCGACACTAGTGGTCTCACTAGTGTCTCTGACTGCCCCATATGACAATGCCTTATCTTCTTCCTACTGCCAGGAATTTAGAAAGACCACTCCTAATGTGCAAAATGATTTTCTGCTCACTTTTCAAAGCACCTACATTTATCCGGATAACCACCCCCATGTACAGATAAAGAGCTATTCACGTACACAAAAATCACCAGGATCTGCAAGAGAACCTAAGATAAAAGAGAGATCTCCCTCTATACAGAAATATGGTCTCTAGGAAACACCATTCCTGACTGCTTGGTGTACACACATAAAAATCATATATATATATATATAGAATATTCCTACAGGTAAATTCACCTAAATTCTGCAGAATGTTTCCCAGTCTTCCAGCTTGCTGTGCAGAACATCCCAGCACCATGCATTGACACATAAGCACTTGGTAAATAGAATATGTATGTTTTTAATTATGGAAAATAAAAAGTATCAGAATATCTATCTGTGTTTACATGTTGATAATGTACTAGTCCAAGGAAGGGTTCAGGTTTCCATTTATTGGCTGAACTAGACAAGGCCTGAATTAAACAAATGAAGGAAAATAAGAATGACACACTGGGATGATGATACAGAAAACAGGGAAGAAACCAGCTGCAAACATAGAACCTGCACAATGAGAGAATTATGTACAATAGATGTGTGCCTATAGGTGGCAGTGGCATAGAGGCGATTTTCTTGCATAATTATCAACCACTCATTTTTTACCATTATAAGAAGGAATACAGTGGTCTGTTAAAAGCTTATTTATACATTGTCACAATATTTTAAGCCAGGTCAAGTTAGGATCCGTAAAACAAGAAAATGTTTTGTAAGAAAGGTGATCCTAGCAGAATGGTTTTTGGGGCCAAGAACTGCATACCTACCTCCAGTGATGGAGAGCTTGATTTTACATCCTATTACAGGTATGTCTTCTTCATATCTAAAGTGCTGCAGCAGCCTTTTGGTAGACTTAAATATCCAAACCTTCTTGTCAGTAACTAAATTGCTAAAGTAGCTACAGGACTAAAATACAGGCACCTCTACTGTACATCACTAAGCTAAAGTGGTCTGATATGCAAACCTCAGCACTCCTGGTACTGTGAAGAGCTGGCCCACCTCACACTCCAACCTCCTACTGACCATCTACTATGATAGGTGGTCTATCTAGCCAACAGAAAAGAAGTGCAAGCAGGCCAGCGCTGGACACTAATAACAAGTGGTAACGTGCATATTAGAGGTATGCATCAGTGTCTACATTTAGCCCTGCTAAAACTTACTAAGAATTATACATAAATGTCACAATCCAGCAATAAAAAAAATCCATAATAGTAAATGTAATTCAAGAAATAGACTGAGCTTTTCAATCCTTTATTGTTGGACTATTGCTTTACTAAAGACCCCAATGTTTTTTTGTAAGACCTATAATATGCTGTATGGAACAAGGATAGATGTATGTAAGGCAGTCCACAGAATGCTTATCATTAGCCAGCATGTTTGGAAGGAAAAATATAATGTGTAGGTTTAGGTTTTTGCTGAGTGTTTTAGAATATCAGTGTGTAGGTATAAAATACTGAATATTATACATTTGCCACCCTGGGCCTTAGCACTAGGACCAAAAATGTAGCTATAATGATAGCAGATTATTTGACTGTTCTGGAACCCAGAAGCACAGGAGTTTAGAGCTGTCTGGCTATACACTGATTCATGCAGGTAGCAATATCATTAGGTGAATACATTTTCATGAAATAAATGTATATAAAGTTAGGGATCCTATAAACAAAGCTATGAAGACTATAATGCTATTCTGTATGACTAGAGGAACCCCCTTTGAAATTGAGAATAGCTAGACAGGGGTCCCCTTTATAACTTTGCAATGGTTCCAATGTTTACATGCAGTAAGGGCCAGTTCACACCACATGCATTGCAGTGCTTTTTTCCTGCATCAAAAAAATGGGAAGTATGATACATGGGTTCCAATGGCATAATTCACACCAGGGCAGTCAGTTGCAGTGCATTTTAGGTCCACAAAAAAAAGTACAACATGCTGCATTTTTCCTGCGGAATTGTACTGGAATGTATCAAAAAAGCATACATAATGCACCAGGCACCAGTGCAATGACAGGAAAAGGAAGAAAATGTATTTTAACTCCTCCCATGACCCTCTTCTGGTCACATGTACATCTGGACAAGATGGAGCATAGAAGGTTGTATCTAGACATTGATAGGCTCCATCAACAGTGTATGTACCCAATAATGCTTCTCTTTCGGGCATGCAGTCTCAGCAGTGCAATGACCATAACCATGAAAAAGCCTGCCAGTGCAGACATCGTCTCTACACAGTAGCACACAGCACACAAAGGACACTTCCAAGGAAAAAACAGGATGTGATCTGAACGGGAAAGGTTACCTGGAAGCATTGTCTTGATGAAAATAAAGATTTGCAATTGAAATGACCAAAAAAATAGGAGGAAAAAAAAGAATCTGGAATTCATCTGGAAATGCATCAAAAAATGTGTTAAAAAAGCACAAGCAGAAAAACATCATCTGGAAGGGATCCGGAGGACATTTTTGTGGTGTGAACTGGCCCTTACAGCCCTCTTGGACTGTACTTATTAATCTACTTCTGTCTATTGCTGTTTACTTGAAAAATGATTTGTTCAATGAAAACAAAAAACACATTTCCAGTTCTGTTTCTGAAATCCATACTTATAACATTTTCTTTTTTTTTTCTAATTTCTTTATTTTTCTCTTTCACAGACAACAGAAAAGGTGAAGCATATATTAACGTGACAAACCAAGACAATAACTCTACAGCTCTCACAGAACTCTTAAGAATTATCTTTCCTGTGTTATACCTTATCATATTCCTGGCAAGTGTCATGCTGAATGGTCTTGCCGTCTGGATTTTCTTCCACATAAGAAACAAGACTAGCTTCATTTTGTATCTGAAGAATATAATGGTTGCTGATCTGCTCATGACAGTGTCCTTTCCATTTAAAATTGTGCATATCTCTGGGATTGCTCCATGGCATTTCAATGTCTACCTCTGTCGCTATACCAGCATCTTGTTCTACACAAGCATGTACATTAGCATTGTCTTCCTTGGGCTAATTAGTATTGACAGATACCTAAAAGTGGTAAAACCATTTGGTAGTTCAAAAATGTACAGTATCAAGTTCACAAAGATGGTGTCTATATGTGTTTGGATGGCCATGTTCTTGTTTGCCTTGCCGAATGTTATCCTTACAAATGCACAGCCAACCAGAGATAATATCAATGACTGCAAAAAACTCAAGAGCCCAGTTGGAGCTAAATGGCATGAAGCAACTACTTATATTAATATGTTGATGTTCTTCACTGTTATGGTGGTGTTAATTGTATGTTACATTTCAATTTCCCACCACATCCAAAAATCCAGCAAACCTTTTATCAGTTGTTCAAGCCGGACAAGAAGACACAATCAGAGCATACGAGTTGTTGTAGCGGTGTTTTTTGTATGTTTTTTGCCCTATCACCTTTGTGGGCTGCCCTTCCTCTTCAGCCAGCTGGATACAGTTTTGGATAAGGATGTATACAAAATCTTAGTATACTGCAAGGAAGCTACTCTCTTTCTTTCAGCCTGCAATGTATGTCTGGACCCTATCATCTATTTCTTCATGTGCAGATCCTTTTCTCAGAGGCTGTTCAACAGAGCAAGCATCCGATCGAGGAGTGAGAGCATAAAATCTCTACAGAGTGTGCGGAAATCAGAAGTACGGATATACTGTGAATATACCGAGGTGTGACAATGTGTCAGCTGGACTACTGCTGTGTAATGTGTAGATATTTTATAAATAAAATGTAAGATGTGTGTGCTGACAGCAAACCCTTTATACCCGTATTTGGTGTGTTACATTTATGGACTGGAAATACAGAGGAGCAAATTGCAGCGGAAGTTTCCATTGCTGATGCAACTGCCAGCAAAGGAAGGAGTGAAATTTTTGCTTGCAGTTGCTGACCCCTGTTTTTAAAAATTTAGTTCGCTTGGTTGTCATTAAAAATCAGGCGTCTTATATACACTGCTCAAAAAAATTCAAAGAACACTTTTTAATCAGAGTATAGCATTAAGTCAGTTCAAGTACTGGGATATTGATCTGGTCAGTTAAGTATCAGAGGGGGTTGTTAATCAGTTTCAGCTGCTTTGGTGTTATAGGAATTAACAACAGGTGCACTAGATGGGCAACAATGAGACAACCCCCAAAACAGGAATGGTTTTACAGGTGGAGGCCACTGACATTTTTTCCCTACTCATCTTTTCTGACTGTTTTTCATTAGTTTTGCATTTGGCTAGGGTCAGTGTCACTACTGGTAGCATGAGGCGATACCTGGGCCCTACAGAGGTTGCACAGGCAGTCCAACTCCTCCAGGATGGCACATCAATACGTGCCATTGCTTGAAGGTTTGCTGTGTCTCTCAGCACAGTCTCAAGAGCATGGAGGAGATTCCAGGAGACAGGCAGTTATTCTAGGAGAGCTGGACAGGGCCATAGAAGGTCCTTAACCCATCAGCAGTACTGGTATCTGCTCCTTTCTGGAATGAGGAACAGAATGAGCACTGCCAGAGCCCTACAAAATGACCTCCAGCAGGGCACTGGTGTGAATGTCTCTGACCAATCAGAAACAGATTTCATGAGGGTGGCCTGAGGGCCCGACATCCTCTAGAGGGCTCTGTGCTCACTGCCCGGCACCATCAAGCTCGATTGACATTTGCCATTGAACACCAGAATTAGCAGGTCCGCAACTAGCGTCCTGTCCTTTTCACAGGTGAGAGCAGGTTCACCCTGAGCACATGTGACAGATGTGAAAGGGTCTGGAGAAGCTGTGGAGAATGTTATGCTGCTTGTAACATCATTCAGCATGACCATTTTGGTGATGGGTCAGTGATGGTTCAGGGAGGCATATCCATGGAGGGATGCACAGACCTCTACAGGCTAGACAATGGCACCCTGACTGCCAATAGGTATCGGGATGAAAATCCTTGGACCCATTGTCAGACCCTACGCTGGTGCAGGGGTTCCTCCTGGTGCACGACAATGCCCGGCCTCATGTGGTGGGAGTATGCAGGCAGTTTTTGGAGGATGAAGGAATTGATACCATTGAATGACCCTATGCTTGCCTGACCTAAATCCAATAGAACACCTCTGGGATATCATGTTTCGGTTCATCTGACGCTGCCAGGTTGCATCTCAGACTGTCCAGAGCTCAATCATGCTCTGGTCCAGATCTGGGAGGAAATACCCCAGGACACCATCCGTCGTCTCATGAGGAGCATGCTCCGATGTTGTCAGGCATGCATACAAGCACGTGGGGACCATACAAACTACTGAGTACCATTTTGAGTTGCTGCAATGAAATTTCAGCAAAATGGACTAGCCAGCTGCATCATTTTTTCACTTTGATTTTCAGGGTGTCTTTGAATTCAGTCCTCTGTAGGTTGATAATTTTCATTTCTAATTATTTCAAATTATGGGGCATCCTTACGTTCCTAACACATTACCCAGTCCATGTCAGTATAGATATCCAGCATAATATTTTCCCCATTGAGATCTGATGTGTTTTCAAAGTGTTCCTTTAATTTTTTGAGCAATGTATGTTCTGAGATGGTGATCTGAAACAACTATACAGATCAGAAGTTCTGACACAGTTGGCTTGTTTAACTACTATCCCTGGGGTTTGCAGAATTTTAGCTTCTGTGGGCAGTCATTCCTCCTCCCCACCCTGTCAGAGGTGAACAGGGAAAAAAAACATGATTCAAAAGACGTTTTCCATATTCTCACACATGAAAGCTGTGCTGAGAATCAGTGTAATGTACTAGAGTTAGCAGGACCTCAGCTATAAAATAAAATATATGGTCTTTATATTAACTGTATTCTTTACAAGAAAAGGGGTTAGGGCTCATTTACACTTGCTGTTTCCTGTGTTGGATCACTCTTCAGACTGCATTGTCCATGGGTAGGGGTCAGCCCTATTTAGTTGAATAGGTCAAGACTGGTGGGTGGTACTGCCAGCTAAACACAACAGTGGGAAGAATTTTTGCCTTGCCACAATGCAAAGCATTGGAACCTAGGCATATTTACACCCCCGACCACTGCCTTTGCAGCTTAATGGGGAGCGGTTAAGGGGGCAGTACAAAACGTGACTTATGGTAATTTTTACCTCTCTAAACAAGGTTAATTGATTGTGTTTGAGGCTTTCAAAAGCATACAATGTTTAAAGTGGATCTTCAGCCAAATAACGTTATTTAATATAATAACACACTACTTTACACCCTACTTTAGCCATCTTTGTTACCACTATATTGCATACTACATGAATCAGTTGAATACACAGCATAATGGTTACAAATGTGTAATGAAGTACATGGAGAAGCACAGTGAGGTGTTACTCTCCTTAACGGATGGCCTTTGTTGCTATAGGCAAGATCTCTATGATCAGACTTTATCTCTCTTTACATGCAATACCACGTTACATTTCTTTTAATAGTAAAACAGCTTCTGGTTTTCTCAAAAATGACATTGATAACTTTATTAACAATAAGCTAGCTATAACCGTAATGTTAATGAATTGTGTTATATTTTTTGCCATGAAACAAAACAGGATGTTTGCACTAAATAAAAACACTTTATTTTATAAAGAATTGAATCTTGAAGAATCTTGATTTCAGCAAGGCATTTGATACAGTTCCACATAATGATCTAATTAAAAAAATTTGCACTAGCTATGACTTTACCCTTGGATTGTTCAGTGGATATGCAGTTGACTAAAGGATAGATACTATCGTAGACTGTGATGCCAGTCTAATACTTACCTGTCCCTGATCCAGTGATATATTGGCTCTGCAGTCTCGTTTTTACAACTGCTTGTAAATATATTTTCTGCTGCAAACTCTAAACAATTTTATGGAAGAATTTTTACTCCAAACTCTATTCTGAGAATGAGATCTACATAGCATTTAACGAATACATGCACTGGCCCAGCAGAGAAAATTCTTAAAGGTGACTCTGCAGTACCAAGATATCTCAAGACTGGCAAGACTGGGGACTGGAGATAAGTGATACTTACATTTTGGTGTAAGTGCATTTGAAAAGCAGTTACAATTTTAGCACAAGATAATTAGAATCCACTTTACTGAGCTCACACCAATGCAAGATGGAATCTGAATGGTTGATCTGCTGTTAACTAACTAAAAGTCCATGGGGATGGACTTTAACCATTAGCCGCCCGGCCTATAGCCGTTTGGCGGCCGCAAAAATGCTCTAGCTTTCCGGGTGCACGCCATTTGGCGTGCTCCCGCACATGCGCAGTTCGTGCGGTTGCAGAGCCGCGCAGCGGCGTGAACAGTCACCGCCCGTGTACCTCGGACAAGGCCGATGACAGATCTGAGTACCGGCCCCCGTTGCCGGTACCATGTGACCTGCTGTGTCCAATCACAGCAGGCCACATGACAGTTGTATACAATGGATGGCTTCATTCATGCCATCCATTGTACAGTCATGTCCATAAATATTGGGACATCGACACATTTCTAACATTTTTGGCTCTATACACCACCACAATAGATTTGAAATGAAACGAACAAGATGTGCTTTAACTGCAGACTGTCAGCTTTAATTTGAGGGTGTTTACATCCAAATCAGGTGAACGGTGTAGGAATTACAACAGTTTGCATATGTGCCTCCCACTTATTAAGGGACCAAAAGTAATGGGACAATTGGTTTCTCAGCTGTTCCAAGGCCAGGTGTGTGTTTTTCCCTCATTATCCCAATTACAATGAGCAGATAAAAGGTCCAGAATTAATTTCAAGTGTGCTATTTGCATTTGGAATCTGTTGCTGTCAACTCTCAAGATGAGATCCAAAGAGCTGTCACTATCAGTGAAGCAAGCCATCATTAGGCTGAAAAAACAAAACAAACCCATCAGAGAGATAGCAAAAACATTAGGCGTGGCCAAAACAACTGTTTGGAACATTCTTAAAAAAGAAGGAACGCATCGGTGAGCTCAGCAACACCAAAAGACCCGGAAGACCACGGAAAACAACTGTGGTGGATGACCGAAGAATTCTTTCCCTGGTGAAGAAAACACCCTTCACAACAGTTGGACTTTAACTGTATACTAGTGCCTAGCTGTGAATGGTCACAGCAGGTCACATGCACATGTCATGTGATTAGTTGTGGCCAAATCACAGCTAAGCACAAAAAAAAAAAAAAAACCTGAATGAATCGATTTCATTCAGGTAAATGCTTGCTTATAGCAAAGTAATTCTTTGCTATAAGCAAATTGTGTAAAAAAAAAAAAAAAAATACTGATCACTTCCCCACAGTAGTACAATGTTACTATGGTAACATTGTACTACTTTGGTCATAGTAAAATCTGAAAAAAAAATCTTAAAATTTTTTTAAAAAATTTAATAAAATATTAAAAATAATAATAATAAAAAAAATATATATATATATATATATATTTTTTTTCATACTGTCACCAGTCAGTGTCCCTGTTCACCACCATGCCAGTTATACGATGATGCTGTACTGCACTGGTGACAGTATGTAAGCAAAAATAGTGAAAATAATTTTTTTCATTTTCCGAAAAATTATGACAAAAAAAATACAACTTCAAAAAACTCGCCATTCCTCTTATGAAGTACGTCGGACTGTCTACTCTGCAAAAAGGGGTCATTTGGGGATATCTGTACTATTCTGACATTCTTGGACCTCAAGAAATTAGATTGGCTGTCAGTACTTCAGGAT